ACTATTACAAGTTAAGCAAAAAAGTTGGTAAAAAATATATATAAATAAAAAATATGTCAAGGATTTCTTTGAATATAAAGCATATTAAAAATACAGACAAAATAAATTTAAGGGCGCAAGAAAATTTATTGTAAAGAAAATAACTAAAAAGACGAAGAAGAAGACGGTGCAGAAACCACGTGTATTATTGAAAAGCAAAAACTACTTTCGGGAAAAATGGGTAAAACATAATTAGCAAAAATTTAAATATAAAAACAAAAACTTTAAATATATAGCAAAAAAAAAAGGGAAAACCCTCTTAAAGTAAGCAAACAATATCAGAATTGAAATCAAATCGTTTTAATACCCTAAAAACTATTGAAAAATAAACCTATTTAAATGTGAAAAAAAAAATCAAAAAATTTCAGCTAGACTTTTAAGAAACTACAGCTCTATCTATGTCTAAATCTAGATATCAAAAATAAATAAGAAGAAGACAGTAAATACCTATTCAACCGTAAATAAAAACAAAAAAAAAAACGTTCTTGATTTGCTCTATATCACGCAATAATTCATCACACAAAACACTGATTAAATTTTATTTTTTACCTTACGTAAATTTCTTATTTTTGAAAAAGAAAACAAATTGGCGCGCATTTAGTAAGAATTATTGCCTGATATACAAAGCAAACAAAAAGATGACGCAACTTAAATCAAATGCTATGTTATAAAATTACTGTACATTTCATTGGCTGCAAATTACAAATAAAAACTAAATTGAACTTTCAAGCAAAACTTTTTTAATTTTTAAATTAACGGAAATGCCAGCTGAGACGCAAACCAAAATGTAGAGAGACCTATTTAGTGAGAAGCAGTGCTGCCAGTTTAGCCTATTCCAGGCGAGATCTAGCCTCTGAGTCTCTCTCACAGTCTTTCTTACCGAATAGCTCTCTGTCTATGTGCCTAATTACAGAGAATCATTTTTATTGTCTACATGTGTGCAGCAGAATTCATTTGGTACTTATATTGCAGTAAAACGAAGCTAAATGCTTGCAGCAGCAGAGACTGTTCCTATTGGTCAATTGAAACTCTACTGAGAGCCAGTGCTGCCAGTTTAGCCTATTTCAGGCTAGATCTAGCCTCTTCGTCTCACTTTATATCTCACAGACTTTCTTACCGAATAGATCTCTGTCTGTGTTCCTAATTACAGAGAATCATTGTCTACATGTGTGCAGCAGAGCTCATTTGGTATTTATATTGCAGTAAAACGAAGCTAAAAGGCTTGCAGCAGCAGAGACTGTTCCCATTGGTCAATTGAAACTCTACTGAGAGCGACTTTGTGTTTGAGTGATAGTCGCCCTATATAAAGGGCAGAAGCTGAAGCATTTCTTCAGTCGCTCAGAGCTGATGGGTGTCAGTTAAACAGTGCAGTATAAGCTAGCCTATATACAAACCATTTTTATAGCAACACTTGCGTCTACGATACAAGCGCTTCATCAGACTCCAGCAAAAATGTATGGAACATTTTAAGGTAAGTTCAAAACATTAGCTCAGACACGAACCGAAATGGATAAAATATGTAGCCATAAATTTAGTGACAAATCTTAGCTGATGCGCAACTCAATAATTTATAGCAACACTTGTAGACCATTGCAATTATGCCCCACGCAAAATTGAGCTCACTTGAAGTTGGCTACGCGCAAATTTCTGCTCACGTCAAGTTGGCTGCGCGAGCAATGTAACCTAAAGTTGGCTGCGCGCACAATGTTCATTGTTCACTTGAAGTTGACAGAGAAACACAGCTGATTTCATATGAAGCGGCGCGAATTTCTACGAGAAGCAGGAAAATATTTTTAGCTGTCAACTTTTTTTTTTTTTCGTGATTATTTTATAATTTTTCATAAAGCATGTTGAATTTGAATTGTGTTATATGCGCGGAACTGTTCACGCCATCCGATGAAGTCTACGTTACTTCCTGTGGGCATATGTTTCACCACACTTGCCTCATGCAATGGCTCGAGCGGTAAGCGAAAATTGTAAACGGAAATATAAAATATATAATTGAAATTGAAAATTATACAGCTCAAAAACTTGTCCACAATGCCGCAACAAATGCACAACTCGCAATATATTGCGTGTGTATTTCAATGTAGCCAATTTAGATACCAGTCGCATCGATGTTGGCTCGCTGCAGGAGCAATTGGACAATGCTAATTTGGCCATTCAATTGAAGGACAGGGAACAAAAAAAAGCTGAACAACGTTTGAGGGAGCTAAAGGACATTCAAAAGAAGTGCTTGTAAGTTAATTGGGAATAAACTTAATACATATATCGTAAGTAAATCTCATTTCCGATTTAAAGAAAAACTATAAGTGGCTTGGAGGCCAAGGTGAGGAACAATGAATTTACCATTACCAGCTATGTAGAGCAGTTGAGAATGCTTAAAAACGAGGTATTGATCATGGACGCCGTGCGCAAGGAGAACAATATGTTGAAGGAGAACATCAACTTATTTGAAAGCGTTGCAGCTATGTTAACAGCAACCGCTTCCGATACTGAAAATTTGCTGAGTAACGAATCGAATCCTCGAGTCTTAGCCAGTTGGGTTTCGACACTGAAGCGCGAGCTGCGCCAATGCGAATCCAAGAAGGTGGAATTGCGCAATGTGATCAAAACTGTACAGGCTGATCTACGCCGTGAGCTGGACTCGAAACGGTAAAGTAAAATCAGATCCTATATATCCTACGTGTATATTACGATATACTAAGTATAGTATTTGCTATTGTTGTTAAACTATATGCAGTATATCACACTGTATTCTATATACGGTATACTAATAGTTTACTCTTTTTGCCACTTCCAGTCAGCTGGAAGAGCAAGTCTCACAGCTAGAGAGCGATCTGTATCGTACACAACAGAAGGTATGACTAAAGAGAGATCACCTTAGAAATTTATATATTTTATATATATATATTTCTTATCAACAGCTTAAGATAAATAAGACTAAGCCAATAGAATTGGATGCTTTAAATAATTCCTTAGGACTTAACACCAACCTTATAGCAATAAAGCAAGAGGACAGGCGCAACACTATCTCACCAACAACTGTATGTATCGGAATGTGCCATTGAATATACATATATATAATAGTATACCTTTACAGAAAGAGAACATCAAGCGCATTGAGGAGTCAACCTCACCCTACCTGAATATCAAATCGAGCAGCGTTGGCATTTCCCATTTGCTCAAACCTCCCGAGCTGAGCATGACCAAAATCTCGCCGATCAAGAGTGGATCAGGCATTAGCATGGCCTCGCATGGCGTCATACGTAAGACTCACAGTGATCTTAGCGAAAAGGTGGCTATTCCAAATGTATTCAAATGTAATGTTCTAGTACAAATCCTTTATTGCTCTTTCTGCTGCAGTATTCGATATTCAAGAAACCTCGCCTCTTGATGACCGGCACCTCCAGCTCGTCGGCTGCAATGGGGTCAAATTTCGCATACAATGGCATGGGCGGTTCGGAGAAGATAGATCCATTTTTGCAGCGTGATGAGGAGGAGAACGAGCAGCAGAACTTGCCAACGCCTAAACCATCAACAATTAATTCACGCTTGAAGGCGGGCTCGCTGCGTAACTTCAAGTTAACTAAATGAAAATAGTTAGAATAGCCAGAAGAAAAACAAGACTGCAACAACTTTCAAATAGCAAATAGCTAAACCATCAACAATTAATTCACGCTTGAAGGCGGGCTCGCTGCGTAACTTCAAGTTAACTGAATGAAAATAGTTAGAATACCCAGAAGAAAAACAAGACTGCAACAACTTTCAAATAGCAATAATTTATAGATGAATCTTATGTTAGCTCAGATTATTGTGCGGTTGCATTTTTAAGTATGTATGTGCTTAAAATGTAGCTAGCAATGAAATATATAAAAATATCAAATATATATATGTCCTTGATTGTTTTTTTTTTTTTTTTTTTTTTTCTATTATGCAGCAATTTTCTTTTCCGCCGTACCGGTCCACTCTTCGCGCAACTGCACATTGCAGCCAAGATCTCGCAGCGCAGCCTTGATATCCTGCGCCACCGACGGATGCTCCACCATGGCCGCATTGAGCAAATCCTCAACGCCAAACGATAGCCAAGTATCGCATTGATCGCGTGAACGGGAAACCATATTGCGTATGGCCCAAGCACCATTGCGTTGGAGTATCTTATTCTTGGGATGTTGACGCAGTGCCTCCACAATAATCTCAGCAATGCCCGTTTCGAAGAAGGCCTCGCTGTGCTCCTTGACGCGCAACGTAAGCGTCGTGATGCAAGCTAAGGCAGCCGTGAGAATGTTCTCGTTCGTCTGATGCGTCTCAATGAGTTGTTTGATGATCGGTGCCACGCCTTGCTGCACAATGTGCGCCTTTACAGCATCATGGCCGGCGAGGGCACGTAGGAGTTTCAGTGCCTCGCGATTTAGACGCTCCTCATTCAGATTATTGCGCATTATATCGAAGATAATCTTCAGACCGCCGGCATCGTCGATGACCGTGCACAGCTCCTGTCGCACTGTCAGCGTGCCAAGGGTGAGCATCAAGTCGGCCAGAACATTGACATCCTCATAGGCGGGCAACAGTTCCACGAGCTCGAGCAACAACTCGTTCGCTATCTGCCGCGCATGCTCGTGGGCACAGCCAAACTCCACACGGATATCATCGTCCAGCACAAGGAATCTCAGCACTGCGGTCAACTCCCTTAGCAGTCGAGGATTGGCCTTTACCAGCAGCGGCTTCATTGCCTGGACGGCATTGCTAGCCATAATACTCTGTCGATTCATTTCGTGCATAATACACGCCTTTTGTAGCCATTGCAGCGTGAGGCATGCCACTTCCAATTGATTCTCCAGCGCTAGCAGTTGAAGGACCACACCCATCGCCTTGGGATCATATAAATCGGGCTGTTTGTGCGTTAAACTATTTAGGGCCTGCAAGCATTTGCACAGCAATTCTGTTTCCAATGGCTCCACGGCCAGCGTTTGCTCCAGCAGTTGGACAAGTGCATCGTGTGCACCAAGTTTTCCTGCGAGCACGCGGTGGGCGAGCGACTTCTTACATTCCTGATCCAAAATGGCGAGAAGTTCCGTAAGTTGTGCTTTGTCTTCGTTTTTTTCGTTGATGTGATTTTGAATTTTGGCCACCGTTTCATTGATAACTGGCTTACCCGTATCAGGATTTATAGCCAAGTCTTTTATAATGTTAACGAGGTTAATGCCCTACAACAAAACCAAAATAAAGACAATCTAATTGATTGATGACGCATACAATTTACCCACTTGTGCTTCAAATTGCTTTATTGTCTCCTCCTTGGCCTCGGAGGGACTCATTGCGAATTCGACCACATTTTCTTGGACAACATCGTCGAATGTCTCTTGAGAAATTATTTTAGACATGTTTAACTATTAGATATCCACTCCAAATGCTGCAGCTGTTGATTTATCAGCAACCTTTTTGTGCTCTCTGCTTTGTTCCGCAACAACTCCCACACACAAAACCAGCGAGTGAGCGAGTTTACTTGTTTTCAATTCCAGTTGCAGTTGAAACTGGCTGTTTAAATGCTTAATATACAACTAATACCGTGGATTATAATAAAATATACAAATAAATAAATCAGACTTGATTTGTGTAGAGCAAATTGTTTAACTTTTTGTAAAATGCGCAACTGCAACTCAGCTGTTGGCCTGCACTCAGGGCTGCAAAACTAATCGATGGAATTTTAGAGCCACAAATTTTAAAGATTCAGTTCCGAAAATGGCTTAAATTTTGTTAAAAGCCTACTAATTAAAAAATAGTTTTTAATACTTTTTAAAATATAACAAAACTATTTTTTAAATTAGTATCGATATCCGATAGAAGTTATTTCGTGCACAAACTTTTCGAGTCTATCGATATGTATATATCGTCAGAGCATCAACAAGCCCAGCTAGCGGCAGGGTCACGGCACGAAAATAGTTAATATTTACCTTTTTTAAATTTAAGTAGGCGACATTTAATTAGTACAAGTTTTACTTTTTATACAATACGAATAATGGGTTTTGTTCTATCGAAATTTCGGGTAAGTATGGTAATTTCTAATTGCGTATGCCAATAGGCGAATGATGCCAAAGCGCCGACCTATACATATGTATATACTATGTATGCAAAACAGATTTACATACGTACGCATTTCTAATTATAGAAGGAAAAATCTACAACCGCTGTTCTGGAAGGTCTGCAATTGCAGATACAAGATCTAGAGAAATATGTGATCAATACGCAGGAGCAGAAGAGACGTTTCGTAAGCAACTTTGTTGGCTTCACAATTGGTGCATATATCGTGGGCTTTGCGCTATGGTATTTCTTCTATTTCCCGCCAACAATGCAAGAGCGCATCATGTATTTGGTGCCGCTGCTATTGTTTCCACTACTGTGAGTAATCCAATCAAGCCCAAACCAGACGTTCGATGATCTCATTTCAAAACAACAGCAGTTGCTCATTATATTTGATTTTGTAATTATATTTCAGCATCGTCTTTCTACGTCAAATGTTTACGTGGTATTTTCAGCGAAAGCTCAACAAAAATGGCGATAAGCTGGCGCAGCTCAAGCAGAAGAAGACAAAGATATTAGAGCAGGTCATGGACAAAGAGACATACAAAGTAACTATAATTCTTACGATAGTTACCAATTATGATAATCGATATCTACATGCATGTATGTATGTATTTGTTTTCGGTTAGGTGGCCGTGCAACTACTGGAACGCTTTGGCGATAAGCAACAAAGTCGCATCAGTGGCTTGCTTTCTAGCAGCACATCTCGCGCCAATCAGAGTAGCAACTCCTTAAATCGCTCCATCAGCTCCTCGCTACAGCGTACACCACAACCTGTAGCTGGAGCTGCAGCGGCAGCAGCAGCACAGCGCAACATGTTAACACCATATACCGGTGTCTATCGAAATATGAATAACAACAATGTAAATACAAGTGTAATGGCTCCGCAAATGACACTGAATACAACACCGCAGGCGCGCAGCTCGCAGTTGCTACGCAGGCGCACGCCATTTCCCGTTGTCGATGAGAGTTCACGCAGCGCATTGGATCGCTTTGTGGATTTCATTGTGGGCGACAGTCCACAGAATCGCTTTGGCATGATATGCAAGGAGTGCCACCGACATAATGGTAATGCTGCAATATACAATGAAATTATATATGTGTATATAAATTGCTATTCTTTTAGGCATGCTGCCGATGGAGGAATATGAATATACAACATTTCATTGTGCGTTTTGTGGAGTGCTTAATCCCGCTCGCAAGGAGCGTCCTGTGGCACCACGCCTCTCGCTAAACGCCACGCAATCGCAAACGCCAGCTCTAATAAATAATGGAAGTTCTGATAGTGATTCATCAGACGATGAAGACGAAGACTCTGGTGAATAATATATATGATGCAATATGCGCGCTCTATTACCTAATAACTATTGTTTTCTTTCCAGAGGAAGATAATAAGCATTTAGCGCGTCGGGCGCTGCATGACGAATTGCCATCGACTGATACTGATGCCGATATGAATATGGAAGTGGATGAAGCTGACGCCGAGGCTGATGCCGAACCCGCCCCATCGACTGCAACAAAAACGGAGGAGACTGAAAGTGCGGCCAGCCAGACTGAAACTGAAGCTAAGGCCAATTGAAATTTTCAACTCTCAAGAGTGCGCCATGAACAGGTTTAGGCTTCGCAGAGCGTTAGCTTCAAATAAATGCAACTTATAWATATATAAATAAACATATTGCTTAGAGTTAATAATTAATTATTACAAATAACACACATTGTTGGTAAGCAAATCTAGCTTAGAATCTTTGTTCACTTTAGTCAGTGCCCCTCCCCCTCACTAGTTTAATCTGCAAACAAGAATTACTTGAAATACAAAATTGTAAATTGAATACAACGAAAAAAACAACAAAGTAATTACTTAAGTATGCAAATTGTATGCAAATTCGCTTTCTTTTAAACGCCACACCTTAATGCAAACGCCCCGTTAAGTGCTAAAGGAAATTGATAATTAAAAGACAAAAAATATACCAAAGGCAGGCGACAGCTAATGGCTATAATAATTCGCAGTGTGACAAAAAAGGCGAGCACGATAGTTGAGACACTCACACACACACACATTTATATTTGACAGGCGACAGGCTATACAATGCCAGTGTGACAAAAAAGGCAAACACGATAGTTGAGTTATCAAAGGCAAGAACAAACACACACACATACGCAGAGCGTAGTCCACTCAGTTGTATATGTGTGCATATGTGAGTGCATTGTGCGAACGGTCAACAATTTCAATTTCGCTGGCTTTTATTTTTTCCGGGCCATTGATCAAGGCTAACGAGAACAGCTTGCTCCACCACCACCGCCAGCAGCACCACCAGCAATAGCCACCTACAAGTGGAGCAGCCGCGCCCGCGCACATTCCTAGCCAATGGCTGGCTATCAAGCTGACTGGCTGACTGGCTGGCGGCAGTTGCAAACACAAATTATAAGAATTAAACTAAATCTGTTACAAACGTTGCCAGCAATTGGACACATGCAGCAACAAACTGTTGCAGCTTCATGTATAAGTGTGACTGTGTGTGTGTTTTTCTTATTAGCTCATAATTTGTGTGACAGCGCATTTTTTCGCCTCGTTATTGAGTGCTGCCCAACACAGCTTCTTACGTTGTCCTTCTCACTCACTCTTGAGTGCTGCCCACCAGTGAACTCTGACGTCCACGCTCTATCTCTCTCGCTCCCGCTCAGCCAGGAAGTCGGAGTGCGTGCGTTACGTTTCTCGTTTATTTGGCATTGGCATCAAGCTACATTGCGTACGGCCCACAGCTTGGACAACGCGTTTTTTTTAGGTGACAATTGCGGTGCAACCACATTTGTATGTGTGTATTAGCGGACCAAAAACCTGCTTCAACTAGGGTTGGGCAATTAAAAAATTCTGATAGGAAATAAAATTGCGTTGATCAAGCTAGACTTTTAATCGAAATTTTATATACTATAGAAAAATTAGGAATTTAAGCAAAAAAAAAAAAAAAAAAAAAAATGTATATATTGAGCGAAACTTAAAATATGTATGTTTACCTAATTCGAATATTAAA